GGATCCAGAAATTAAACCACAAGGAAACAACCAACAATTGTTTTTTACAAAACTATTAACAAATATCAATAAAAAGGAAGCTTCTTCAATAAATTCTGGTGATATTGATAAAACTAGATAATAAAACGCTAGTACCTGGCAAACTTGTACTTTTTGAGTTATTAGCCTGTGGTCTTCCTTAGATGCCCAGCTATCTCTAGTGCTCTTGGTTATCCTCCAAAACTGTATAATAAGACCTTATTGATAAAGACATCATATACTTGAGTCACAGAGCATGAAAAAGCCAATGGGATATTGACCCATAAGATTTATTCCTACTGGCTAGTTTTCATAGGGTTGTTCGCACACTATCATAGGTTAAATATATTCTTTGGTCTTAAGAAATTGTGACACCTGCAAGCTACAACAACTGCCATGACAATATATTCACACTTGTGCAATAATTGATTAAATGTCATGGAAGTAACTAAATTCTGTACTGGAATCTAATACCCACTCTATGAGGTTGAATACATAACTGGCATTGCCAATGCCAAGAATCTGTGTCTAGGCCCTAAAAAAGAGCCAACTATGCTATTCTGGTAAATGGGCATAGTATTAAAACAACTTGTAATGACATTATTATATACCTAAGTCAATACATCCTTTTCATCCTTAACAGAGAAGCTGAGAGTCTCAATTGAACAACATGAACAGGATAAGAGACTCCACTAAATAGGCTATATATCTCAAATACCCCCCCCCCTTAAGAGTCATGGATCTTTGAGGAAGCAAAAGAAAAAAATCATAATAGCCAGAAGTAGTGAATATCTCTATGAAAACAGTATTTTCCAATTACAATAGGATAGCTGGGCATATGAGTTCAAAGTGATTGTTACAGCATGTAAAAGACCTTGGAAAGCTCAAGTCAAGCAAAATGTCATCATAGAGAACAGACGTGAGCATGAGGTTCCACCCCTAGCTGAGAGCTGTTGGCATTTGGAAGCTGCCGAGGGAAGGAGGGTCAATTTCCTTTAATGATGTGACTCCTAGAAAGTTGACAATATTCCAAGGCAGGCTCCACGCACAAGACTATTTAAGCAAACACAGATTGGTCATAATGGGTTAAAAAAAATCAAGAAGAGTAATTGAAGTTGAGCGGGTAGGGAAGTAAAGGTGTATCTAAACAGAGTTATAGTAGAAATGCATTGCATAAAACTCTCAAAGAATTAATAAAGCAAAAACAATAGCAACAAATCCTTAATGTCCCAATGCCAAAGAGTGATTTGGATTTATATATTCCACCCTGAAAAAATGAGTTCAAATTATAGCAAACATTTTAATATAAAATCTAGGATAAGCATAGACAAGAATGTTCTGAAAAGGACCCAATGACAAAGGAAATAATCATAAAAAATTGACGAATAGAGGGCTGGAACGATAGGTCAGTAAGAAAGATCTTCTGGTGTCAGCATGAGTTAAGTATAAATCCTAGTCATCCATGTAGAAGGGAGGGGAGTAGAGAAAATTTTAGAGCTCAATAAAAACCAATCAAAAATAATTAACAATAACAAAGAGAGCTGGACACAGCTTCTAGTGCTGGCAACTCCACTGTTGGAGAGGTTGGCAGATTCCAAGAACTTTTGGCTAGGCAGTCAACATGGCAAGGATCCAGATTAGAAAGAGCACATGCCTCAGTACAGGAATGTGGTAAGGATGTAGAAAAACACACGACATTCTGCTTTGGCACCTGCATGCACATGCGTGGACATGTGCACCCATACCCTCATGTGCAAACATCACACACAAAGAACACCATACATGTATACACATGCACATGCATGCACATACACACACACACACACACACACACACACACACACACAGAGCGAGAGAGAGAATTGATAAATAGGACTATATTTTTAAAGAAAGGTTTCTATACATCAAGGGAAACTACCAACAGAGAAAGAGATAAACCATAGGATAAGACAAATATGTACCATTTATACCTCAAAAAGATAAACTTAATCTACAATATATAAAAAACTATAAAAATCCAGTAACAAAAACTTCAGATCTGCTCATTAATCAATGGTCCAATGAACTGAATTGGCAGTTTTTAGAAGAATCATGAAAACAAACCCTGATACTTGCATGGAATGATTTTTATATACTTATCCACAAATGAAGCAAATATTAGAACTCTGACACCCTGTAATATATATATATATACATATGTATATATATATATCAAGAAAGCAACTGATAACACAAATGAAGGTAAGAATGTGAGGCAAAAGACCGCTTACTTAATATTTATAGGAACATAAACTTCTTCAGTCACTTTGGAAATCAATATAGATTGAGGTTTCTAAAATATTAACTATAGAGCTACCATATGTGTAAACCATTCCTGGGTATACACATAAAGGACTCTAAGTCAACCCAGAGGTATTAGAATACCAATGTTTACTCCTATCCCCGTCATAATACTCAGGGAATGGAAGCAGTCTGTCTACCAACAGATGAAGGGATACGAAGAATGTGGAGTCTACACACAATAGAAATTTGTAGATAAAAATATAAGTGAAAGTAAAATTTATAGTAAAATGGTCGGAATTGGAAATTATTATCTTAAGAAAAGTATCTCAAGCTCAGATAGATAATTATATTTTCCGAATATAGATGCTAAATTTCAATATACTTTTTATATAGTGAGATTATATATATATATATATATGTATATAAACATACACACACATGTGTGTGTGTGTGTGTGTGTGTGTGTGTGTGTACGTGTGTGTTGTGGAGTGACAGCCATGAAACTGGAAAAAGGAACGTGCGAGGGTAGAGAGGTGATAAATGATTGTTGAAAGCAGATTTTAAACAGCACACAGGGCCATAGAGTGCACATGCCATGAAAGCAGGTGAGCCAGTTAGGACAGGAAGAAGCCTTGCGTGAGTGGGACGGAGGGTTGAAAGAGGGGAGCAGAGGGAGAGGACTAGTAATGAAGTATCTATGAAAATGTCCTAGTGAAAATAGCTGCTTTGTAGTCCAACTTGGAAGCCTAAAAACAGTAGAAAGACAAGAAAAACCACCTGCAGTACCTCTGCTGGTTTATGTGGTATAAGATCAAAATATATGCTCAACTGATGTGCAATTGAATACATAAACGCTTGGTGATTTAGAGGAAGCAATTTTTAAGTTTTTCAAATTTCAGAGGACAGTAAGCTTCACACTCTCCTCAGACCATGAGCTCTTTAAAGACAGCATGCTTGCTCTGGCTTCTGAAGAGTCTGTGACATTGAGCTTTAGCCGGATCCTTTCTGGTGCTCACGATGCACCTGGAAGGGTGGTCACATGCACGTTAGGATCAAAGACAACCGCACTCCATGACAACTGCTGGTCCCTGAGGTTTGGATTAATTGACAGTATTTTCCTCTACAAATAATAAAACCCAGTAGTTTCCCCAGTCCTATAAATGGAATTAGTTAACAAGCTCCAATCTGTAAGTCAAGCATTGGCTACTTTTGTTTCCTTTAACCTTGAGAACATTGTTCATCAGCGTGAGTACAGGTGACTAGCACAGACTGAAAGAAATAATCAAAGAAAAAATGATAGTCATTCATTTGATGAAACCAAATTTGAATTCAAAACACTGGAGAAGAATGAAGAGGTCTAACCTCCTAAACAACTAGTCTTTGTCAAGAGATGATATTAAGGTTTCTCCAAACAGGAGTTATAAATAGCAGATACTGGTCTATTTGTAAAGATTGCTTCCTATTCTTCATCAAATTCAACCTGCAAGATCTACTGAGTAAATTGGGAACATGGGGACCTTGGGTGAGGGTTGAAGGTGAGGGGAGAGGCAGGGAGGGGAACAGAGAAAAATGCAGAGTTCAATAAAAAAAACAACAACAACAAATTCCACCTACAACTTCATATACGTTTTATTCCCCGGAGGACCAGTATATATCAAAAATGTTTTCGTGAAAGAGAAGGCCACACATTCATCGCACACACACACACACACACACACACACACACACACACACTCGTGCTCACACACAGAGAGGTTTGTGGCTTAGTGGGCAAGGAAGATATTGAGATAGTAAATGGCTTGGCTTGAAATCTGAGGACCAGTTTAATCCCCAGAATCCTTGTTGAAGATTCTGGATGTGATGATGCACACGTGTACTCCTAACACAGGAGGATGTGACTACAGGAGGACATCTGAGCTTGCTGACCAGGCGCCTATCCACCTTGGAATGCTCTAGACATGTTAGATTATCTCGGAAAATAAGATGAACGACATCTGAGAAAAGACACACAAGCTTGACCTCTGTTCCCCATGCATGCTCACAGATGGACAAATACATGTGAAGACACACACACACATACATGAGGAGGGGGGGAGGGAGGGAAGGAGAGAAGGAGGGAGGGAAGGAGACTGTTAATGTTCCACTGATGCTTCATTTGACCAAAGAAAGGCCAAGAATCTTATTTAGATTTCACGCGGCTCTTTTACAGTGGTTTGCAGTTTCTTTTCTAGCCTTTTCTCACATAGGCTCTGAATCTAGACATCCTGTTGCTGATTTCTTCCTCTGCCACTAAAATATATCTTTAGTTTGTTTTGAGGTCTTTCTGCGGCCTCGAATAATATTTTATCGGCATAAAGTAGTTTGCAGGTAAAAAAAAAAAAAGGAAGCGCTTATTGAAGTGCTCCCATTCCACCCGAAGAAGAAAAGAAAACAAATCCCAACAAAAGAATTTAATTAAGGAAACACTTTTCAGTACCCATCCCTGTCTAACAGTCAATTAAACTCTACCAGCATTGGCTTGTCAAAGTCAGTCAAAGTCCCAGTGGGGATTGACTGTATTCGAATTGAAGTGAGATGAGGAAAAGTGTACATGGACTTTGGGTTTTCACAGGACAGTGTGTCTGCAACCCTTCACACAATCATTTTTGAGTGATCCCCTGAGAAGTGGGTAAAGGTGAGGTCACAAAGAAAGTTCTTACGTTTTTAAACCCTCTGTAAAGAATCTGAAGCTCTTTCTTGGTGAATTTGCTCTGGGCTTCCAGCAGCTCCAACGCTTCAGGCCGATGCCTGACCGTAGCCATCTCCAGCTCATCTTCAACGCTGTCTGCAGAGGGAAATCAGAGAGAGGCGTAAGCCTAATGGCTGCTCCCTTGGACCGGGAATGAGCAATACAGAAACATAGGACAAAATGTTTCCCGGATTTCAGGGACTTGTACCTCCAGAAAGGATCCTCACACTGACAGTAACAGTCTCCGTTTCTCAGACTTCACCATATTTAACCATGACATTGCTGCCTGATTTTCCTTAAACTTTCTATTGACCAAGGTAAATCTTACAGTTCGAGAGATTTTCCCGAACAGCTCAAAATGTACAAGAATCAGCAACAACCTGAAATTTGTGTTTGCATATCTCGCACTAGTTTTAAATATAAACATGTATAAAAAAATCCCTAGAATCTCATATATCCTGAATATAGCATGGACAGCTCTCTTATACTTTCTGGGGGTTCCATTAAAAGAGTTGGGAATCTTTTGGGCGGAGGGGGGGAGTTTTACAAATGAAATGTTCAGACCAGGTACTGGGGAAGGCAAAGCAACAGAAGGCAGTTGGACTGGCCAAACACCAGCCTTCTGCAGTTTGCTGGAAAGACTGGGGCCTGGAGGTACTTGTAACTAGTGTGTTGTCCAGTAAATGTGGACATATTAGAGAGTATTATTGTACTACTGTATCTTTCCCTGTAACTATATATACATGGTAATTTATCAAAGATGTTTTGTGTTAAAAAAACATTTTGTGCCAATATGACTGGGAATTGCTATAAACTTTAATGAAATTTTAGAATAAATAATGTAATATATCTTCTTTTTTAATATATCAGTTTTCATAACTGCAAACTGAATCCCGTTTGGCTTTTTATAATATAATCGAGCCCAAAGATTTGTCAAGAGTAAATGTTCTACCTTCAAGCAGTATCTCATATTGTGTGTGCTTACACACACAATTAGTGTACAGTCATCTAAGCACAAGTCTGAAGGATTCTGGGTGTAATGGGGTGCTCGTGCCTCAAAGGACAGAACTGTTTACTTTAAGATACTTAGTCTAGTATCTTTACAGTAGAGAATGGGATGGAGCCATGAGGGAATATTCTATATTCAAGCCTAGACCACGCCCCACAATATTTCAGCTGCAAAGCGTTCGTCATTGGCTACAGATTGCACATGCAGCTGTTATCCAAAGATGTGCCATCAGCGAGTGACACAGACAGTGTTGCCTAGAACATGACCACCTGTACACCGAGGTCATGGGAGGGGCAGTGGAAGGGCTTCCAGTAGGCAGTAGAGGATCAGGAGAAACTGGGCCATCTCCTAACTCTTGCTCTCAAGTGTTTGCAGGAAAGCAATATTGGCAATGGAAGAAAATGACAGGAGGTGCTAACAAATATTCATTAGTCCTAGGTAATTTGTTTTTTTTTTTAAAGATTTATTTATTATGTATACAACATTCTCCCTCCATGTATGCCCATACGCCAGAAGAGGGCGCCAGATCTCACTACAGATGGTTGTGAGCCACCATGTGGTTGCTAAGAATTGAACTCAGAACCTTTGGAAGAACAGTCAGTGCTCTTAACCGCTGAGCCATCTCTCCAGCCCCCGGTAATTTGCTTTTTGTGGGTATTGTGGATAAGTTTGTTTTCTTAATTTTGTTTTCAGGCAGTTTGTCATTGGTTTATAGGAAGATTGCTGATTTTACGTTAATTTTATATTCTGAAATTATTTATCATCCCCCAAAGGGAGAATTTGGGGAATTCTTTTATAATAAGAATCCTATCATCTTTAATTAGGGATACCTAGATTTCCTCTGTTCTATTTGTGTTAGGTTTTTTTTGTTTTGTTTTTATTTCCTTCTCTTTTCTATTGCTCTAGGTAAGGTTTCAAGCACTTTGGTGAATAAGAGTTGAGAGAATGGACACCTTTGCCTTGTTCTGGACATTAGTAGAAACCCCGTCTTTATATTTATTTACCAAATTTCGACTTGTAGGCAGGTATAGGTAAGGACTTACTGAATAAGTATCTGGTGGCATGGTAAATAAGATCACAAATCTAAAATGCCTCTCAAGTAACTAGAAAAGCTGTACATCAAAGGAAACTGAGAAGTGAATCAATAGACAACTCACAGAATGTCAGATAATTTTTTTGTCAGCTATTCATCTGTCAGAAGATAAGTATCAGGAATATACAAATGAACACAAAATTTCTGCCTCAACATTAAGAATATAAATAACACTAAAATATGGTCAATGGGAGGAACAGAAAATTCTTAAGAGAAGATTTCAAATGCCTAAGAAGCAATTAAAATAGTACTCAGCATCCTTGGGTAACAGCGAAATGAAAAATAAAGCCACTTTAAGATCCCTTCTTACCCCCAAGTCCAATAATTATCATCATTAATATAAATCACAACAAATTCTGGTATGAGCATGGCAAAGTGGAAGTTCTTTTTTTTTAATGACTTATTTATTGTATATACATCATGTGCATGTCTTGTGCTTGCGTGTTTCCAGTATCCTCTAAAGATGAAATTATGGACAGCCATAAGCCACCAAGTGGGTCCTGAGAATCAGAAGCGGGCCCTCCACAAGAACGGCAAATATTCTTACTACCGGGACCATTTTTCTAGCCCTGTAAAGGAAAACATCTATATGCTATTGGTGGGAGTGTGAATTAGTGCAGTCACTTTAAATATAAGTCTGATGTTTTCTAAAAATCTGGAAAGAGTTATCATATAAAGGGATGGATAGGTAGCTCAGCAGTTAAAAAGTACTTGCTGCTCTTACAGAGAAGAACTAGAGTTGAGTTCCCAGCACCCACTTGGAAGCTCAGAATCATATGTAACTCCAGTTTCAGGGGATCAGACATTCTCTTCTGAACTCTGTAGGCACAATACATGATTTGTTGCACACACATATGTGTAGGCATGATACTCAAGAACACAAAATGAGTAACCCTAAAAGAGAATAATTAATAATAATGATGAAAAGGAATTACAATATGGCATAGGTATATTAATACTAGACATATGCCCAATGGAGTTTCTATCCTACTACAGAGACACTTTCACATCAATGTTCATTTAGGCTTTATTTATAATATCTAGAAAATAGAATCAACATAGATATCTATCAATAAATGAATGAATGTGTAAAATGTGATACATATACACAATAGAATATTTTTCAGTTCTGAATAAAAGTAAAATCATAAACTTTGGAGGCAAATGGATGGACATGGATGGGGGAAAGGATACTGTTAGACAACTCAGAAAGAGAGAAAGATAAAGGCTCTGTTCTCTTTCTCTCTCTCTCTCTCTCTCCCTTGTAGATCCCAGGTTCAAATCTGGTATATTCAATTTTGACCACAAGTAGAAACCAGGAAGGTAGAAAGAAGCCTTTGGTGGGGGCTTGTGAAATAAGGATGAGATATGAAAATAGTGAGGTGGGTGGAGCACTGGGGACAGAAAAGTTTAAGTAGGGAAGGGTGGTCGAGTATGTGGGAAGTCAGCAGATAAATGGGAGGCTAGCCTAAATGCAGGGGGATATGAAAAGTCTTACAATTAATGAAAAAAGTAATTGGAGGTATAGTAGAACATACGTAAAATGAAGGAGGATGATTATGGAATATTGAAGGTTAAAGGATTAAGAGGATATGGGGAGAGATGAATGGGAAAATGAGGTGATAAAGGTGGGCTAAAAAACACTAAGGGTCTTTGATAGAGGCTCATGAAAGCCTTAATCAGTAAGGTAATTTCAAAATGCAACTCAAAAAAATGAAGAGAATTATCTCACATGTATGGACAATGTGCCTCCCAGAAGACATGATTATTAAATGAAAATCACAGTAAAAGACATGGGAAACCTCCATATGAATTACTGAGCAGTGCGCCTCCAGCAGTTCTTAAATGACACAGGCTAGTGCTATTGTCTTTATAAGCCATCGTAATAGACAAGGTAAGCACCCACTGATGAAGATACCAACGTATAGGGCATAGAGAAACCAAGCACAAACTGGGCAAAAAGGTCCTTCCTGGTGGCGAGCTTTCACAATGCCATGGGGGTGTTATTTAGGGTTCTGGGCAAGACAAGACATCAGTTATTTTACCCAGCACTTCACCCTGCATGTTACAATATTGACCTACCAGGCAAGATATGCACACTGATGCAATGCTTGCCAACTCTTACAAGGAAACATGGCTTTCTTATTGAGGTCTGTCCCACAGGGCAGAATTTCATGCCTGATATTGTAATCTTGGTCAAAATCCCAATTTTTTGAAGATATATGCCATGGGTAAAGTCTGTTATTATTAGTTTTATAAATTACTAATCTATCAAATTGTCTTCAGAATATTTATGTTTATCCCCATAGACTTGAACTGCTCTCTGCCTTGGCAGTGGACAGTAGGTAGTGGAGAGCTGTAGTTCTGAGAATAACAGGCTGCGCACTCAGGCCTAGTAAAGCATCTTTATCTCCCTTATCCCATTCCATGCAATCCTGGACACATAGTAGCTGTGGTTGCCTTTACATTTCCAATACAAAATAAATGGCAAATTCCATTATAGGTGAGGTAGATCATCTCCAGGCCCATCCCTTCTAAAAGATATTTTAGTACTGAATAATTGTTTGTGGAAGGAGAACCAGTACTTATTGAAGATATGTCCACAGGGAGTTTTCTCATGCTCCAGTAGATAGAACCACATCTATGCAATATGGGCAGCTACAGTCAGACTTGGTAGATTTAAAAAACAGCAACAACAGCAATCTTAAGTTGGGAGCGATCATGCTAATGGAGGTATTGGGGATGTTAAAGGGGAGAAATGAAGAGAAGGCATCATATTTTATAGATGTATAAAATTCTTAAAAGGAAAGAAAAGTACAAAACTCTTAAGTAAGTAATAAGTAGTGTATTAACATCATGTAGTGGGAGGAACTAAAGTAGACCAGAAAAGGATAGGCATTGATTGACATACTGACCTTAGCCTGGACTTTAGTGGGAGACTCAAATAGATGGAAAGAGGGTGGCATAAAGAGATGTAGGAAAAGTTGCTTCACA